GTATCATTTGCCTGGAATTTATCCTGTGACTTTCCCAACTCCGGTTTGGTACGTTCATCTCTTGGCACTCCTTTTGAAACTGGAAAATTAGATGAAGAGATAACTTTGGTATCATTTGCCTGGAATTTATCCTGTGACTTTGTCAACTCCGAAAGTTTGGTACGTTCATCTCTTGGCAGTCCTTTTGAAACTGGAAAATTAGATGAAGAGATAACTTTGGTATCATTTGCCTGGAATTTATCCTGTGACTTTGTCAACTCCGAAAGTTTGGCACCTTCAGTTCTTGGCATTCCTTTTGCAGATGTCAGAGAAATTTTGGGAAGTTTATCACTTGTTTCACGTTTTGCAGCTGGAGAAGTGGATGAAGCGTTTATTTTGAGACGAACTGAATCGCGCATTTTAACCACCGCAGGAGTTTCTTTGTCTCGATAATGCGCTTCGTTGCCTAGATCTGTCAGACTCCGGCCTATGTTAGAATGCTTTCCAAGAATTCCGCCTCTGTTTCGGAAGTCGCGGTCTCGTGATATATGTTGAAAGTGTGATTCGACAGATCTGTCCCGAGGACCACGCCAAATTACCTTACCTCGTCCAACATGTCTGCCTGGTCTATGTGTTTCATGGGGTATGTCATCACGCGAATCTAGGAACTCGCGTTTCATTGGCGCCTTTTGTTCTCTGAGGAATTCTCTTTTAACTCTGACACTGTCAGAGTCCCTGTCGACTGTTTTAGCTGTAACAGTCTTTGGCTGATTCTTATCGGCGCCTGATTCTGCTTCAATCGGACTGATTTCAAAGTCACAAGACAGACATTTATCAGAGTTCAAAAACTTCAAAACTGTGTCAAAATGTAGAACAACGCAGTGTCCAGGTGCGAGCACCTGCTCTATTTCTTGCACGACACTTCGTGTTTGGAAACACATTGATATTTTTTTCTTCTCATTTTCTGCTGTTAAAGAAAATTTGTACATGAATTTGGAAGATTTATTCTTTGAACCTACACATAACACTACACAAAAGAAGTTGCCATCTTTTATTTCCCAAACTATATAAAATAATTCATCGGCAATCCACACTGCTTTCCTATAATGCCGTTCAGGTGACAAATCTGTGAGAATAACGTTAAACCGTCCACCAGATTCTTGCGTGTCCTCTCCACCAGTGTGGATAATCTTTATATGACCCCTCATGTCCGGAAGCGATCCCACCCAGCTACAATCCTCATTCGATATTGTAGCAAACGGACACTTGTAACTCTTATGTGAAGGATCGGATATCTTGGAGATTAAGCCTGGAGGTAACAACACTGTCGACAAATTCTCTAGCGCCAAATTTCTCACTTTTAAGAAAGGTTGCCTGCAGTAAAAACAGTTGTTCAGTTTCGATCTGCAGCCGTTACAAATGCTGTGGCCATTTTGACACATTGATATCGGCGACTTCATATATTGTAAACAGACTGGACACTCCAATTCCTTCATGAGGTCATTATCTAAATCGTTGGACGCGTTATCCATCTTACTGGCTCGATTCATGTCCAGTTCTATTTCATGCGACGAATTTAAGACAATCTTAAGGCTTCAAAATTGCGTGCTGAATTTGTGACTGAATATCAGCTGTCCCTCATTATATTCGAATGTCCAATTTATGCTCCATATCAGTGTAGATTTTGGTTTTGGTGTTGTTAGTAATGACGTTGTGTAGTCTGGAAGATGGTTTGGTCCTGAAGATGAAGGTGGTTGATTCCTCTGAAACGTTGATTTTCACCTAAAAGAATACACTGAGTCATAACCCAAATGACCACAATCTAAACGTATTAAGATTTATTAAAATATACAACAAAAAGGCAATAGTAACTGACTGTGGCTTCGGTAACTAAACGAACATCGAGCAGGTTGGCACAGCGGTACAGCTCCAGGCTCGTATACGCTAGGTATCCAGTTCGAACTGCAATATGAACACACTTTATCTTGAGGGCTAACTTCGTTTTTCTCAGTCTTTCCAAGCACGGTACGAAATATTGTCTCAACACTGCACTCCACAGCCTCCAGAAAATCGACCTTTCTCCGCAGGCCTACGATTGATCCAGTCACGTTTCACGCTGTGTAACCGTCGAGGTTGATGGAGCATAATTAAATT